TTTAATTATATAACTTTAAAATAATACAATATAATATATATTAAAAAATTTCTTTGCTATATCATACAAGAATATTAAATGAATAAAATTTAAAGATTTTATAATTAATGAATGTCAACTTCGCCAAACTCTTTTTTTTTTCATTTTCCAATTACTTAATAATCTAAATAGAAAATTAAAAAAAATGTATAAACCAATATATTTTATTATTAAAAATATCAAGACTTTCATTATTCTTAAATTTTTTTTGTAATTATAATTAAATATCTTAATATTTTTAATAACAGAACTACTGATTTTCCGCATCCTTAAACTATATATTTATTAAACTATATATTCAAAACAATATCACCATCCTCCATTATTGTTTTCATCAAATGTATTTTATTGTTTAAAGAGCTCCGAATAAAGGTTGGGTTGGTTGGTTTGTTGGTTGAGCAACCGTTGAATTTGTAAGTACTCTCCCCCATGCAAAAAGATCAAGGTGGGCTCCCAATTCTGAGATATTTTTAGAGAAGAAACACAGTAACATGGAGATATATTAAGTCCTTCAGCCAGTAAGGATGCTCAAATTGAAAGAAACAGTTTAAGCTGGCAGGAAATTAACAAAATAGCTTACATAATATATATTGTCTTTGTGCAATCCGTTGATTTTTTTTATGTTGTTTTTTTTAAGCATGGTGTTTTTAAATTAATTTATATGTATCTTAAAGTTAATTATTCTTTAATTTAATTAAAAGTAAGTCATCCACTTTAAAATTAAAAAATTACCATTTTATAAGTTTCTTTGAAGAATTAAACCTTGTAATACTTTACTAACTAATTACAATTTCTTAAGTCATCCATGTTCATTTCTATTATCCTAATTGGAGAATTTCTGTACAAGAAAAATGGTAAGCAACGTGGGGTGGGGAAAAGCGGGACCTAGTCCAATTAATAAACGTAGAAAATGTGAACCCCACCACACCCCACGACATGCCCCAATCACCGCCAGCGCTACCGCCACTAAGGGCACATCAACCGACCTAGATATGAACGTAGACATTTCCAAACGCACAACCGAGGCGCGTTAGACGTCTGAAGGCATGGAAGTGGAACGAAAGTAGTGCGCCCCATGTGGCTGGGGTGCATGGCGACCAGGTTTGCCGGTGGAAACGTGCATGGTGGACATACGCTGGAAGGGCACTCTTGACAGCAACGGTTTTGCCCCGACGAGACTACTTACGAGGGAAGGAGATTAGGAAAAAGATATTACTGCCCCCTTAATAAAGCAACAGATATTTACGGAAAACAGGATGCCACGTTCATGTTTGACACGTGGAAAGGAAAAGCCCCCTCCACGCCTGGTCCACCCCCCACTCACTCTCGTGGACTGCCAACCCCACGTACATGCTTCCCTCCTAAGCAAATTTGACCCCTCTCGCAATTATAATCTGACCCCAACTTGTACATAATCCTAATTATCTTCGTGAACTTGGGATTAAGTAATAAAAAAATCAGGTAGTGCAGAACATCAGTATGAAATCTAGCTGCTTGGCCGGGGCAGAGGAATAGCCATTTTGAATTGTTAATTTACCATGTTTAATGTTCCAGAGAACAGGCAACAGTACAAAGTACTGACTTACGCCAATTAATTTATAAATTAATTAGCAAAGAATACAAACCAAAACCAAAGAAATCATCATACCCAACCAATTTATATATTCCACTGTGTTTTGACTTCTATTCTGTACTTTGAGATCAAATTATACACACAGATTATAACTACCTAAATTCTAGAGACTGAGAAACTAGGAAACAATTTTTTTTAAAATAAGGATGAAAAAGGCAAGCAATTCCCAATTGGAGTAAACATTTTATTATCAAGGAAATTGGATCTCTTATTGGCAGCAATATATGTAAGATTACAGAGAGTAAATCCTATCAATCTACCCCCATTTCTTTTTCCTTGAGCCCAACAAAAAGAACAAAATAGCTGCAGCTAGCTAGCATTTCATTGCATTGCATAGCACCCATCGCTGTCATCAAACTAGAAAATTTTATTTCACCTAAAACTATCCCAGAACAAAAAAGACATTCATTTTCACCTTCATTAGCAGGATCATGTTCCCTCCATTTCCTTAATATATCTTCTATATTATATCTATACTACTATTTCCTATGCCAAACTACTAAGCTTCCCATTCTCTGTTCTAAAACCTCCTTTCCCTAAAACAAAAAGTCCCCAAAAGAGCAGAGCACAATTAGTTGACCCCCCATAAAGAATCTAGTCAATATGTCCACTCCTGAGGTAACCGGAGTTCATGGGTCATTCCTTGCTGTGGCCTGAAATTGCGCCTTTGATTGGAGAAAACGTTGCCATTGCGAAGTCTCGGAGCAACATCTGTAGATGATGACAAAAAAAACAGTCATATAAACTAATTAAACAGTGATTTAAAGGGTAAACATGAAAAAGACAACAGGGGATATTTGTTTACCGATGTCTGGAGTGTATCCTCCGTTGAACCGCGGCTGAGCACCAATCTCATCCAGATTCAAGTTCAATGCCTGCACCACTTTGGCCGGGAGTAGAACGGTGGAGCAACCTAGACAAAAACCAGGAACATCAGTGTTGCGGTCGAAATCCAAAATAAAAGAAATCAAAACCAACCCAGATCTGGAAAAGGCAGCAAGTATGGACTACGGACCTGGCTTCTTGCGGGATTCAGTAGGTGTACCATGTCGACGAGGCAGGAAAACACCAGTACCAGGGCATTCCCTTTTGCCGGTGGGATTACCCAGGAACACGGCCCGCATGCCTGGTCCGTTTTGAGACCCTGCCTGCTGCACAGGAGGCCATGCAGACGGCGACAAGCCAAGGGGTCTTGTGCTATTAGTCCTGCTAACAACAAACTCAGCCGTATTATTATTGTTCATCCCCCTGTTTTGGACCACATGACACTGTTGCTGCTTCAGAGCTGCCCAAGCCGAAGCGCTCCGTTGTCTCATCATCTGTTGCTGTTTCAGCTGTTGAAACTGTAACAAAAGACAAAAACAAACAGATTAATGACTTAGGCAGAAAAAGAACATGCACGGACTAATTTACAGTATTAGCCATTTGTGCTTGCCTGAGTAGCCTGCAACTTCTGGTGAGAAAGCGACTGCGATGAGTGAAACCCACCGACTTCGAGATTTGGTGAAGATTTTCTTGGTGGAGGCAGGAGACCTCTTCCATGGTTGAACAAGTCTTCATTAGCTCGCAACCTAGCAACTTCCCCCGCAGCCGCATACAGCAGATCCCAAGTTCTTGGGGGCGAGGGGAGTCGAGATTGACACTTAGGGCTACCACGGCTAGACCACTGCCTGTGCCCACAACCAGTCCCCACCGCACACAGCGTCGATTGAGGCGAACCAGACAGACGCAAACCCTGCAAATCAAGAAAAGAAGCATCGTAAGCACCCAAAATCAGAACTCACTCAAGAAGTGAAAAAATCTCGTATATTGAACGAACCTTGGAGTTTTCATTGTTAAATGCGCGGCCCTTTTGGCCCCAGTCGTCTTCGAGAGTAGACCAAGCCATCTGACGAGTCAATCCAGCAAGATACTCCTCCTCGTCACTCTCGGTCTCGGTGGAACCAACAACAGACTCAACGGGAGAGCTGAGATCCGAGGAGAACCCAAAAGAGCCAAAACGGCAGGGGAGCTCAAGGGGAAACAGAGACTTGTAAGCATCAGTCTCCAAGTCCATGAGCACATCGTCGTCTGTGAGGAACTGAGGAGGAAGCCAGAACTCGCCGTCGTCAAGACTCTCCGCCATGGATAATAAACCTCAGAGATAGCGAAGAGGAAAAGAAAAGGAAAAGCAAAAAGCCCCCCAAAACGCGACGAGAACCGAGGGATGTGATGGGGGGTTTTTTGATGAGCGGAGTTTGCTGCGGGGTTAAGATTTAATAATAACCACCACGGCCCCTGTTGGTTTTTGCTGGCTTCTGCAGCCTCCAGGGCCCAGCAGAGCAGTAAAAAGCGAAACGAGAGAAACGAGAGAAACGAAACGTTTCTTGGGGGCCTGGGAGTGACTGTGAAAGAGTGAGGATGGCTGCAAGAAGGGGATGGAAGAAGCACGGAGGGGTGGGATTTTGCACTTGCAGAACGAGGAAAAGCAAATGGCAAGTAATTGGTGTGCAGAAAGAGAAAGGGTATTAAAAAGGATGCGCTGAGTGGTGGGGTGAAACCACGCGCAAAGTAGAGGGGGTGGGAGGGGGGAGTGGGGTCCACAAAGGAGTTGTGGCCAGGTAAGATATTAGAACGTGGGGCCAACCGAAATGTTCATGGCACTTGGGAGGCATGTGACAGGGGGCAGGGGCCTTTTTTTTGTGTCCCTGAACTTTGATTTTGACATATTTTTGGGTTTTAAATTATTTTTAACACTTTTTTAGTCCCTTCACTCTGCAATTTGTTTTTTTTTTTTTTTTCATTCCGCCTTTTTTTTGTTTTTGAATTCTAACTATTACTCCATTCTCATTTGGTCTTAAACTATATCTTCTAAAAATCCAAAAATAATTATAATCTTAAAAAAAATTATAAATTTAAATCGTATAACATATAAATAAAGTATCTTAACAGTTAAATAATGAGAGAAATTATTTTTTAATATATAACTTAAACTAAATAATTAAAAATAATTTTTAAAAGATATATATTATATATTTTTCCGAAGACACTTTAAAGAAATGGTTTTGGACGGGTAACATACCCGAATTTTCCCTTCTGGTTATCAGAGCTCAGCGTCCTTGCAGAGGGCAAAAAGCCAAAAACCCTTTTTAACCTCTAAATTTATTTTAAAATAACATTTAAATTCTTAAATTAAAAATAAAACA